AACTTGGGATCTTCCTTTATAATATTGTAATAAGCTTTGCAATAGACTGCTTTTAATACCATGACAGGGTTGTAACCTTTTAGCAACCTTAAAACTGTTGTTTAGCAAAATCAATATTATACTTCAACTTATTTCTGTTCATCTCTTGTGCAGAGGCATAAATTTTGGCTACTCATGAGTCTGTCTTGAGTTGGTGTTTTCCCAATCTTCCAGTGATAAAAGATGATGCTAATCTAGATTGTGATTCATTTGGTGAAGCTGAACTAGCTTCAAATGTGCCGAATGAAGCTAAAGCAAACTATCCATGCCATTTTCTCTCTATCAGCATGCATTCATTACAATAAGCATGTCCATTCTCGGCCTGTTTCCACTTTAAAAGCATCTCCAATACCAACATGTGTATGTTTGGTTAACTATATTACTAAAAATGGACACACATCAGATGAGCAGTACTCCCTCCGTCCGGAAATACTTGTCCTAAAAATGGATAAAATGGAGGTATCTATAACTAAAATAAGTCTAGATACATCCATTTCTAAGACAAGTATTTCCGGACGGAGGGAGTACAAAGAAAGAACACATCTTCCCAACATCACAATCTCAGACATACCCCCTCAAATCTCACAATAGGGGTGCAAAACTCCAGCCAGGTGCACAACCAAATCACGCATGCACCAGTTGTTCATTCAAAGGTGCTTCAGAATGAAAACCAACACCCAAAACTTTCCTCAAAGGAGCTTTCAGAAAACTCACAACACTTCATGTGTGAAAAAACAAAACTTTCAGAAAACCAATACTTACAAAAACAAAAGAAAATATCCCAAAATATTTACAGAACCAGGAGCAGCTGCTAACTAAAGGTGACCAGAACACTGAATCATCTTGACATTTCACAATGATTGCCACGCAAGGATCAGAGGTAAGATTCTGGCAAATAATGAAGCTATGGATGGACAGTATTTCTGTCAACCGATTGAGATTCAGACAACGCACAAATCACAAGAGCCTGGCTCAAAAGTGGTCAGAACAACATGCAGATTCTGCACAATCTTATCCAATAACCAGATAAGATATTGGTTGCTCACAAACTTTCAGAGTGCCACACCAAAATATAGGCTGCCAGAAAAGTAGGTCTATAATAAAATGGTAACTGCATTTCACAAATCAGAAGTACGACCTTCTAGGAATGTAGGTCACTGATGCTGAAATGAGATGCTCAAAGTGGGAAAGTTGGAAAAGGGTAGCAATTCAGTCGAATAGACCAAATTGACTGACGTGCTGCCATTACAGCGATGGACCTTATCTCCAAAGATCCTGTTTTATACTCATATAAAAGCTTTTAAATTTTTAGTATTCAAAGATCCAGGGAGTAACATCAAATTCAACCTTAAAAGGTTTTTGTATTCAATATTCACGAATTGCCGATCTTTTAAAAACTAGTTTCTTAAACAATTGAAACAAGCAGCCGAGCGCCCTTTTCAGGCTTCTCAAGCAACGCACTGGTAAACAATCTTCTGCAACCAGAAATTTTATACAAAGAAGCAGAGTTCAGCTATGAGATCACATAACCATAACCATATTGTCTTGAGACATCAACATCAAGTAGTCCCTGTTAGTATCATTTGCTTGACAAGGTTATCTCACTTGCTAAAATTAAAACCACAGAAATCACCATGGTCCTTTATGTGCACCAAAAAATTCTCGATATAGGTGAATTGTTCAGATTGTCGCTGTTATCCAGAAAGCTCGACATTTGAATGCCTCCACCCATGCTCCATCACCCTATTCTTGGGTATGGGCCCTGGTACTGAGGAAGTCACCGCTGGCCGCGACATAGCTAACTTGTTGTTCTTTCCATAGCTACTTAGGTACGGGTACCTCACCGTCTAGTTGATCATGTCTCACAAAAACTACCACCAACCAGGAATGGAGGAGTATTATGAATATCACGGTGGGCACCAAAAAAAGTTAGGATGTAAAATACAACTGCGAGAATTACCCAAAAAGCATCGAGCGTCTTCAGATATTAGGCTTCCTCAGGATCTCCGACTTAGAGAACTCCCCCTGCCCCTGAAATTCAAATAAGGTCAGTACAATTAGAACTAATGTTATATTGAATACATTGTTTTGCTGGGCATTACCATCAGCCACTTCACTTGTTTGTCTCCCAGTTTATCAAAGTGCTTTTTAAAGTAAGATGACTTCTTGGCCAGTTTCACATCATAACCTCTAGCATATGAACTTAGTATGCCAACAACCTCGCCCTTTAAGTTGAACACAGCAGCACCAGCAATCTTTTGAAGATGTTCCGCTACCAGTTTTGCTTCATCATCGTTTCTTGGTGTGTGAAATAGGACCGTGTTTGTGCAAGTAAATGCAAACAAGTCTGCGGATCCTGGCTGAATAGTTCCCCCCCCTACCCATGGAAGTGCAATTATTTAACCTGAAAAGGCTATGAGTTAGTTTTAAGGTGAAGACAGTCCAAAGGGTGACTTTGAAAGTAGAAAAAAACTTACACAACATGTCCATCGAACATAGAAATTCCATCCATATAGGGGAAAAGAGACACCACCTTCTCGCACACATTGTCATTGGGATCCAAATCAGCAAATTGAACAGGAGGCAACGGGTTGCGCATGCGGTCTGTAAACAGGATAGTAATACTGCACCGAGGAAGTTGCCCCACCTTCTGAACAATTGCAGCTTTCTTCTGATTATAAAACTGAACCGATATGGGCAATTCGGTCAGCTAGAAGAGTCAACAGATACCAAAGCATGCAATTCTGTTGATCCAATAAGGAGGCCTGTACGGACGGGCCGCATATTAAGCCTTACAACATAAGGTGCAGCTTGAGTAAAAACTGTTTCCAGTACATCTTTTTCAAAAACCTGAAGAAACAATAAACCATCCTGAAATTTTCAACAAATACTGCAAAAAAAAAAGGGGTGCAACATTGACATGGACACGTACAAGAGTGGTGTCAGTGGCGGGATCGGGATCCATGGTACTGTGTTAACCAAGACCTGTAATCAAACCGGAAGAATTCAGAACGCGTCTAAAATTCTGCAGAACATGACTATGTGTAGCAACATAGAAAGCCCAGCTGTAGGTCATCAGTGCGACTGTTCAAAGCGTGTTGTTTGAAACAATATCAAAAGCAGACAATTGCAACTAGCTAAAACAGAGCAGGGCGGATAGTAAAAGAGGGAGAAGATAAAAAGGAGGATATTGATTAATATATCATAATTTTACAAAAATAAACCCGTAATGTGGTGTCCATTGGTTCACCATGCTGCAGTTGATAGAATGATAGTTGGACAACCTCCAATATTACGCAACGTCAGTTTGGGAGCTACTTTACATAAAATAGGTGAAAAGAGAAAGCATTCTTAGGGGGCTATTAACAAAACAAAAAAACTTGTTGGCTTATGATCAGCATTTCGGCAGAAACTTGGGGGAAATGCAATATTCCATCTCCCATGCTGGATGCAGATGAAGAGCTATTATGTTTGAAATCCTGAAGCAGATTACCAACTGATAGACTTATCAACAGTAACACGGTGGCAATTTCAGGTATTTAAACAGCCTACAAAGGATGGGAACGGCCCAAATAGATTCCTAATCTGAAACAGCAGTGTATCCCTCATGGAACATTCACCCACCAAACAGTTGACAGGCCAGTCACCCGTTTTAACATATCAAACTAAAAAACAACAGTGAAAGATTGCCAGAACACATCCAAAACTGCACGGTCACATCTGGAGAAGACATTAGGACCAGACAATCCTAGCAACATAGTGTGATATGCATCCCAGATATCCTTGTCCATCCATTTAATCTCAACAAGCAAACATGTATTCTACGATATGCAAGAAAACATATGTAACGCATTCCTACCATAAGCAAGCAATCAGACGGCACAAGTGTTGGAAGAGATCTTGTTACTGCTCAGTACACATCTGCGTGAAAAAGAAAAACTAGGTAACGATCCCCAACGAGGGAGGATTTATTTTAAGCACACGCAAGGACAAGGACAAGGAAGTAATCACCAAAAACAACCCCAAGAGGCTGGACGCTGCGTACCACTGAACACTCTGTGGAGGAGATGCCGGCCAGATAGACGGAATGCTGAGGTGGGAGGAGGAAGCTGCAGGCACAGGAGGGCGGCCGAGATGCGGAACAGGCCGTCGGAGACGACGGCCGCTGCGGGTTGGGCGGAGGGAGATCCGGTGAAGGAGGAGACGCGCGATTCCGCCGGAAATGTGCTCGGGGACGACGGCCTCCGGTGCAGAGCGGCCCGCCGGATGCGCCTGTAGCTCCGGTTCGCCGGCGGGAGCGGCGAGCCTCTGTTCCGGCCGGGGGCGACGGCGGAAGAGGAAGATTCTGTTCCGGGCTTGCGGCCTGGGGCGCCGGCGACAGGAGTGAAACCCTAAAGTCGCCTCCGTCTCTCTCTCTCCCTCCCTCCCTCCCGCGCACAAAGACGAACCCCTTCGTGCAAATTGGGGAGGAAAGGCTCACCTGGGCCGGCCCAATGAAGCGATCGCAGCGAGCGACCGGGCGCTCGCCAGCGATTTCTTTTTTTCGCTTTAACTTTGAAATAAATGTTCGGGTAATTTTAATTGTTATTGATGTCTTGTGCAACCACATAAAATACTACTCCCTCTGTTCGGAATTACTTGTCGCAGAAATAGACGTATCTAGACGTATTTTAGTTCTAGATACATCCATTTCTGAGACAAGTAATTCCGAACGGAGGGAGTAGAAGTGGTACATTTGAGATTGCATTGCGCAAATAACAGAGGTGGTGATACAAACTCAAGCTGCTTTACTTGGTTGATTGATGGATTCAACTTTTTGTAGCAAATTATTCAGGTCTCTGCTATCATTCATCGATATGGTTTGTAGATAGTGTCAACTTTCTTCCATGTCACAAGAACATAGCTTACAAAAGTGTCTCACATTATGGGACGGAGGTAGTACTTCACTGTTTAGACATGACTCATTTACATTCATCGTGCAACACAAAGACTGGAGTGGACGTCAGACAGCCAACCAACATGAACACATTATCGATTACCACGAGCAGTAGCAGGACTAAAAAGCACACTGCCTCCTATCCAGCTTGTAGAAATCCATACCACGAGCAGTAGCAGGACTAAAAAGCACACTGCATCCTATCCAGCTTGTAGAAATCCAGTGTACTAGGGTCAGGTATATCAGCAGGGAGCACACATGGCTCGGGCAACGGCCACCTGTCATGAGTAAAAAGAAAGTATACAAATAAGTGAAAAGATTTTAACAAGAATAACCAATGTATACTAGATAGTATAAAACAAATGTAAGAAAGAATACTTGTTGACACCACCCTCGGCATTTCCATGGGACCAACATGTACCAGCCAACAGCCATCTGTTGTTGAGTAACCACATTTCAGAAACCATACAAGTTACTGAACATACATTTATCTGAAACAATGTACGGTATTGTATGGTATCATGATGAGTAAGAAAGAATACCTCTTTTCGTCACCCTCAACAATAGTCTCATCTGCCCTAGTCCTACAAGTACACACAATTTCTTTTTACTAAAACGTCTTACATCTGTTTACAGAGGAGCAGATATTTTGCCAGAAAAATACCAAGTGTAAACAAGAAGACATACCATCCTTTATTTAAGTTCAACAAGAGGCGGTGAATAACATCCCTCGGCAGGAACGGAGTTTCTTCCTCATGGTAAAAGTTCATACCAAGAAAATTCCCACCAGTGTCAATAAGTGGGCCTCCAATCCCAGCCTAGCAAAACAAAAGCAACATCATACAAGGCTTATGTTACAATTCCGTTGCTAATAAATTTTCACCGTGTTGAAGATACTGGATAAGTCCAAACGAGATACCTTGGTGATTTTACACGTGGAGACGCATAGTTCTTTGCAATCGAGCTTGCTTCGTTTGCCAATCAACAACTTGCCCTTTGCAGCCATTATACTGTGATAAGTAAAAAGACGCCCCACAGCTATTACACTTTTACATGAGGTAACTAGATGCCTGCCAATTTTTATTTCACGAGGACCCCAGTACCCCATGATGTCAACAAGAGCAACGTTGTAATGTAAATTATAACGTTTCAGTATCCCTACGACTCGAAATTGGTTTGGAAGGCAAACTTCAATCTGCAATAATAAGGTCATGTTAACCAGTATCCTAAATGGAAAGGAAAAAAAACAAAAAAAACAGAAAATAGCAGTAACAACCCTCAGGTTATCATCAATCCTGTTTGCATCACCAGAAACTCTAACCAAACTTGCTGAAGTCAGAATTGTTGCAGAGCATGCATTGCACTTTATAAATACACCAGTGCAAGCAAAGAATTTTGCAACTCCTACACAGATAATCATTCAGTTATTAATCATCACCCACTTATTAAAACATGGAAAAGTAATGACTACAACAGAACCATCACCATTGAATGAAGCAAGTGAGACAACACTTCGAGACATTTTTGAAGCAACGCCTTTGGGTAGTTTACTCCAGATATCGTCGACGAAATTTGCTTCAAGAAAATGAATCTTACGCTTGCCTAGCACGATACACAAGTTAAAATTGCTTGATAAAGTATTAAAAGTGTGCATGTGAAACATAAGGAACTACTCAGCAACACAGGTACAGTGTATGCTAGTTGCAAGGTCCACGAAGTTAGTAGACGGTATCCCAATAATCACCCAGTTAAATCGTTTAAAATTCAAATTGAAAATCTCCCAGTTAGGTTGTTTATCAACTAAAATTGGGAGATATCTTTCAGCTTGGCCATGTAACCAATTAGAGCTGAAACCTTCGATTGGTTATTTGTTGGATTGTTAGACTTCTATACAAGGAGGACCCACTATGAGGAACTATCTAAGCAAGAGGAAATGATTCTGATTTCCCATCTCGTCGAAAAGGCACAGCCACGCCTCTTGCGTCCAGGGGCTGCATTATGCTGGACATAAGGTCAATATCCTATGAAATAATTTTGCTCACCTCCTGGAATGCTGCAAAGTAGTTGTTTCATCTCACTTTCGATTCCGGGTTCTTCAGCATCATCAATCTCTTCCTTAGCTCTAACACTGCAGCACAATGTAGAAAGCTCACTGTGATAAATCCACAAAGACAAGATGCCAAAGACCATACAGAAACTGAGCTATTAAACAAGGGAAATACAGAACAAGGGAGCAAATTAGTTACAGAAATTTCACAGCAGAGAAATTTCTGAAAATCTTAAACAATTTCCCCACGGGTCTTCTTAAATGTAAGTTCGAGTGTACCAGAAATATATATTAATGCCAGCATTAAAATAACGACCTTAATTTAGTACAGTACAGACTTAAATTATTAAGAAAAAACACACAGGTATAAAAAATACTAGTGGGGCAGTTTTTTGGAATAAACTCATCAACATCAGAAGCTGCTGTTTGGCTTTCAGAATGATACACCTTACACAAACTCAAATAAAAAAAGGGAGTAGTACAGGATGCAGTAAGAGAGACGCATGGACAGGCCAAACAGAGAAGGGTGGTTCATGAATACTGAAAGTGTACATACCTGACCATCCTGTAATACTCCAAGAATTGAAGGATTTGCTCCCTTCGCACGTAGGGGGTCTTTTTCCTTCTGGTACGAGAGCAGTTCATCCCAACAAAGTTACCATCAAAATCAACAAGGGGGCCTCCAATCCCAGCCTAGCACAAAAGTGACAATGAAGTTACACAGGGAAAATGCTATTCATCATGTCTGAAACTAAGGATATGTGTCAGTGCATACAATGATAGAATATGCTATAAAGCCACTGATACCAACAGACAGATATTTGTTTCAACTGTACAACAGGAGCTCACCTTGTTGATCTGGCATGTGCTGAACATTGTCTCACTGGTTAGAGCGCTTAGAGAGGCAAGATCTACTCCGCTTGTGGCCCCTAAAAGTCCTGAACTGAAATTGCGCCATACAGCTGCTACCTTCCTATAAGGTTCAAACTGCATGTCACAATCAAGACTTACACGCGCGACATCAAATACAGACAAGTCCTTGACATTGACGATTAAAAAATCAACATATCTCCCAGGATGCTCTATCCAGCCAGTGACAGTCCGACCATTTGGAAGGTGCACTTCAATCTGAAATGAGCGCAACGCGAATTAATGATTACAGGGGCATTATATTAGCATAATAATAATAATCCAGGAAAGGAGTAGAAGAAAAAGTTACCGTCAAATTTTCAGTGATCTCCCTTGTAGGCCAAGTAAGTGGAATCAAAAGTCTCGATGTCAGGAAACTTGTAGCATCAGGGCATGAGGTTTCGATGCATATGCCTGTGCATTCCCCTAACTTGGTATCACCTACAGAGGAAAAATAAAACGCCCAAACTGAATAGCTAAAAACAGGTAATATGAGAAAATATTAGCAGTATAATCACCAACCATGGAATGAGGCGAGCGACACAACACTCCTACACAATCTTGAAACTACTTGCTCACTGAGTTGACTCAACGCGCCTGGACTGGGTTCCCTCGAGCTGTCCGATCTCGCTGAGGAGGTACCATCTAAAGCTAGTAGGAATAAAATCATGTGTGATACACTCCATAGAACGGTCAATTATGAATACTCAGGAAAAGGGAGACAAAATGGACTCACTTGGCCTAATTACTTTCTTGCAAGGACGTTGTTTCTCATGGACTCCCATCCTGCGCTTGTTTTTCATCATCATTTCAAGCAGGCCTGAACAGCAAGGAACAAAACCCAACTATTACTGATTGACCACACAACTGGATGGATATGGTTGGCAAACAAATTAGAGGGGTCCAATAGATCGGCGGAGGAAACTAGGAAAAGGTCACCTTACAAACGGTGTTGGAGTTGTGCGGCCCAATCACTCTGAGGAACTGGTGGGTTGAAGTATCCATATACAGCCAAGAAAGATATATGAGCAATTAACAGTAGGGCTTAGATTAGCAAAGCTAACAAGCAGCTGAGTTTGCTACTTTTTATAATAAGAAGGCATACAGTTCTAATCTAGTATTTGCTACATTTTCTGAGACGACACATGTAGGAGGAATAAGCACAACAAACTACGTCCTGACCCATGGCACTCAAGTGTTTGTGGTGTGGACATGTGGTAAACTAATTGAAAGAGTAAACAGAGGCCCAAAAAAAAAACTGAAATTACCTATATAAACAGAGGTCAACCGTTTACATATACGGGTATGTCGTAACTTTGCATATGATCATCAATGCTTCATTTTGCCACCGAATTGGAGTTAACTCAGAAAGATAATCACAAGTCATATACATGTATGCATCATCATTGTGAGTGTCCTCAAATTGCAAAAGAAAAAACACGCATATCTCATCATAGCTCGATGGAATGAGACATACCCAAAGTAGCAAGACATGCATCCTTCATGAGCTTACATATACATGCGTAGCTTTTCCTTATCGCCCATGCCCATGTACGGAGGAACAATTGTCTACTTATGTACAAGGTTTCTAATAATCGAGCCCTAATTAAGCTGATGTAGTGTACAAGGTAGCTAGTTCAGTTTGTTAGATGACCAAAATGCTTTGCAGGTGCTGAAATACATAACAGATCAACAGTTCAATACTGAAAACCTTTTGAACTATTTCAAAGGTGTCCATCAAGCAAACATTCTAAAGATAGATAAATGCACTGCTAGCAACAACATAGCATCTTTGAAGGATTAGAATCCTTAGGAATTTTTCCTACTTTGGTCGTTTGATTCGTAGGATTGAATCCTATAGGAATTTTTCCTAAGAATTCATTTGTACTACATTTCACAGGAATTTTAACATCCACTCCAACCTATTGAAAGAAATCCTTTGTTTTTCCCATGACACAATCAAACAAACTCAAATCCTATAGGGATCCAATGGTCATGCCATTCCAATCCTACGTTTTTACTATTCTTGTGTTTTTGCAATCCTATGAATCAAAGAGGCCCTTATTTGTGAGAAAAGATGATTGCATTGCATTAGAGGCCTTCTCCCAACTGAGCCCACCAGTATAGTGTTTTCCATAGCTCATTACATATGTTTTCTCTGGTCTAATTTACTAAGTAATTGCAATTCGTATAGGCACTTGTACTAGTCGTTAATTACAACGAGACAAGCACCAAAAGATGAATAAAAACATGAAGGGAATCAAATATGTTTACGTGTGTATGTGGAGGGACAAAGACACTACCTGACTTGCAGGTGGAGGAGACGCCCGCCGGGAAGTGCAGTGTCACCGGGGACCGAGGTGGACCGGCACGGAGAGGCAGCACACCCACGGCCTGGGTCCGTCACGCGGGCCTAGCCAGCCGTCGCCTCGAGCCACAGGATCCGCCGGAGAGGAGGGGATTCCTCGCTGTACAGGAGAAGGTGGAGCGAGGGGAGCTCGTGGAGGTTGGTGCTATCGGCGGGGAGGAGTGGCAACGACCGAAATCGGCCGGCGGTGAGGAAGGGGATCGGGCTGAGGGAGAGAGAGAACGGGGAAGGAGGAGGCTGTGTGAGGTTAGGGTTGGGTGGTTTTTTTTTTTTGAGACAATTAGGGTTGGGTGGTGTGGGATGCGGCTTCTCCCACGGGCCGGTCTTTTAGTTTTTTCTTTCGTGCGTCGTCGGACTGAGCCACGCTGGGCCTCCCATCATCACCAGTGCAAAAAGAAAATACGCGTCCTGAGGCATTACTGGGCCGGCCCATCTATATCTCACGTACGTACCTACCTACTGTATAGCGATTTCCTTACTTAGCGGGTCTTTGAGTGCGTTTTCTCTGTGTGTGTTTTTACTTTTGGCTGGTTTCTTCGGGGTTTTTTTTTCTTTTTCGTCCTTTCTTTTCCTCTTTTTTTCTTCATTTTTTGTATCTTTCTTGGTTTTCAGCCGGTTTTATCAGTTTTCTCTTATTTTCACTTTGTTCCATTGTTTTGCATCGGTATCTTGGTTTTGTTTGGTTTTTCTTAGTTTCTCATCCGTTTTTCTTCAAATTTCTCCTTTCTTTTCTTTGGTTTCTTCGGCTTTTATCATTTTTCTTTCTTTTTCCTTTACCACTTGTCTTATTTTCCACACACCCACTAGTACATATTACCTATACATCAAAACATATTTTTACATGATTAAAATTTACTGAATACGCATTGTACATTTTATATATATATCAGGAATATTTTATAATACATGTTTAACACATTTTTTATATTTATTGTACACAATTAACCTCTTTAAAATCCCAAATCCTAAAAAGTGGGCGGATGCTAATTTGTCTTACAGAGCAGCCGGGCTTGCGCGCCGTCCGATCCGCATCTCGCGGTCACGCGCGTTTCTAGTGGAAACAGGGGAAACCGTCGATGCGCGCGCCAGGTGTCCCCTGGTCGTGGTGTCGTGGTCGAGACCCGTTGGGCGCTCAGTGCGGTTGCGTCTCGCCTCCCCTCTCCTGTTCCTCTCGACTCCCCATTCCTCCCATTCGAAACTTCTCCCGAGCGCAGCGGATCGGATCTCGCCTTCCAATCCCCCCAACCCATCCCCCAAATCCACCAGTCGAGACTCGAGAGCAGCGGGCGGCGTGTCGGTGATTCGGCGGTCGTCTTCCGCCGGAGTGAGGGCGGGACAGCGGGCGCGACGTCAAGGAAGGCGGTGCAGCGGCGGAGACGCGACCGAGGAGGGACGTCGCGCTGCAGGCCGCGGCGGAAGGAGCAGTACTGGAGACGCGGCAGAGGAGGAACGGCGTGCGCGGCCGTTGTTCTGTTGGCGCAGAGGGGCAAAATCGTGGCGAATCCCCTGGTATGCCCATCGATCTCTTCCGGTCCTCCGCGTTTAGGTTGTCCAAATCGACGCGCTCTGCCGCTCCGCCGCGAACAGAGTAGTGATTTTTTTGTGTGTGCGTGAGGTAGGAAGTAATTCAGTAGAGGGAGGTCAATAGGGCTATTTTATAGGACAGTTTTAAGCATTTCACGAGAATTCATTCTGTGATTTTTTGTTCTATGATCAGAGAAGGACAGAGGCAGATCTACAAAGTAAAATACGAGAGGCTACCCGACTGGTGTGCCGTCTGTGGGATGCTGGGACACCTCTATAAAGAGCATGGTAATGGAGTTCATCCTTCATCTGCGCTAGTCTTCAAAGAACTCCGGGCCGAGTGGTTTATGAACAACAGAAGAGGCCCTGGTGAGGGGAGGGGACGTTGTGGTGGTCGCCGTGGAGGCCGCTCTGGTGGCAGGTCAAGAAAGGATGCTGAGAGAGAGCCTGAGAGCTCCTATGAAGAAAACTTTGGCAAGGTGGATAAGACAGATGTGGATATGTCGGATCCTAGCAGGAAAAGGACGAACGATGCAGTCGTTAATGAGACCAAATCGGTTGGACCAGAAGGGGAGGCGCTGAATAATAGTAGAATGATTGTGACCGGGCTGGAGCTTGTTGTTGTGAACCAGAGCTCTAATCCAGTGAGTCCTCCACCGAAGAGGGATGCAAAGAGAAACAAAACCGATGAGGAAGGCAAGACTAAAAATCTGTTGGCAAAGAAGAACTTGGTGGGCTCCCTGGAGGAGCGCCGCCGGTCCCAATGAGTGTGCTAAGTTGGAACTGTCGTGGCGCGGGCAACGCTGCGACAGTTCGCGAACTCCGCATCTTAGCGGAGACTTTTGCCCCTACCCTGTTATGCATTGTAGAAACACAAATTGATAGAGTGAGGGTAGAGAATTTAGCTGCTGGTCTTGGTTTTGATAATGGCTATGCTGTAAGTAGTCAAGGTAGAAGTGGAGGTTTAGGGATATTTTGGAATAATACAATAAATGTTGATATTTTGGGCTATTCTCCGTATCATATTGACTGCTCCATTCGTGAGGAGAACATGGATCCATGGAGGATGACTTTAGTATATGGGGAGGCACAGACCCACCTGCGGCATCAAACACGGGATATGATGAAAGGAATTAGCAATTTGAGCAATGATCCTTGGTTGTGAATAGGAGATTTTAACGAAGTTCTACGTCCGGATGAACAAGAAGGGATAGGAAGAGGAGTAATGCTTAAATCCAGGGCTTCCGGGATGCTGTGGACGTGTGCATGCTTATGGATGTGGGATACCAGGGAAATTTTTGGACGTATGAGAAAAAAGTGGCTGGAGGAACCTATACTAGGGTAAGGCTTGATCGAGCTTTGGCAACGGCTGAATGGAACGAGAGGTTTCCGGCGGCCTTTTTGAAACATCTAACAGCTTCATCCTCTGACCATTGCCCTATTTTGCTCAACATACGTGAAACGGCCGCCATGAAGATTAAGAGACTTTTAAGTATGAGGTTATGTGGGAGGCGCATGAAAACCTGGGCGACACCTTGTTGCAGAGCTGGACAGCAGGTGGAGCAACAGCAAGAGTGCAAGAGCTTCGAGACAAGCTCGGCGCGGTTGCAGCGGATCTTGGGCGATGGAACAGGTGGTTCAGTGAGTCCAATCTCAGTGACGTCCTTTGCTGTGAGGTTCAGTAGAGTGTACTTGCGAATGTCATCAGCATCTGCCATCTTGCATAGATCAGTGAGTCCAATCTCAGTGACGGTCCATAGTTCGCTATCCTTGGACATGAGTAGCTTCTTCATCATGGCCTTCCATCGAGGATACTCATGACCGTCAAAGGTGGGACATGATATGTTCCTCAATCCTGCAGTCGACATAGCTGAAACTCCAGGTGGTTAAACCGAATCACACAGAACAAGGGAGTAC